ACTGCGACTACCACTACTACTACTATTACTACTACTACTACTACTACTACTACTACTACTACTACTACTACTACGTACGACTGCTACTACTCATGCTACTCCTAGTACTACTACTACTACTACTACTACTACTACTACTATTACTACGTACGACTGCTACTACTCCTGCTACTCCTACTCCTACTCCTACTACTACTACTACTACTACTACGACGACGACGACGATTACCACTACGAATACTACGAAGCCACTGCCGCTGCCATTGCCACTGCTACTGCCACTGCCACTGTTGCTGCTCCTGCTACACTACGATTATGATAAGTATCACGATGCAAGCACACCCCAAACCTTGAAGCTGAAACGACAAACTGCAAGGAAGCCAGAGCCTCGATCTGCTTCATGGCCTTCTGAACCATCGGAACCTGCCTGGCGTGTCAATGGCTCGTCGGGTGCAGGACGCTAGTGTAGAGCTTACACATAAGGACAAGAAACGTACATTGCATGCACTTGTGGCCGCTGCATTTCCAGAAGTACCGCCGGCTTGGGCATGCTTATACACGACCTAGGATAGGGATGCACCAGCAGCACTTTTGGCGGCTCCTCGTCAGCGCTTCGCGGTTTAGGGTTTAGCTGGTTTAGGCTCCAGGGGTTTCGGGTTTAGGGCCGCGCGGCCTGTGCTTCACCACTGGCACATCCACGATCTGCTCGACTTCCTGCATCACCGGCACGGACACCTGCCAAGAGGGTCAATGACAGGCCCCCAAAGCCTAAACTCTTAACCCCAAACCCTAAACCCTAAACTCTTATGTAACCCCAAACCCTAAACTCTTAACCCTAAACTCTGAACCCTGAACTCTTAACCATAAACCATTCACCCTATTTCCTGAACCCTAAGGCTTGAAACTCCTAGAGCCTGGGTTCGGGTTGCAGGCACTACGGCTGAAGGCCCGAGCATGGAGGGTCCGACAATCGCACACGCAAATGTGTGTGAATATACATATATATATATAT